TATATATAAGGCGTCAAGATATTGACTGGGGAGACAGTCACAGAGAACCGACCAACTTGCCGAGGTAGAAACACTCACAGCTTCAATATTACAACATGAAACACATACAAATTCGACGGAAACCTTTCAAAAATGGCGTAAAACGTTCCTTTGTTGACAATCGGAAAGCGACCCGACATACAGAACGCTCATCAGAAGACGACAAACATTTACGGAAATGTTAAACCAAGCATCAATACCCTGGTTAAGACAAAATGATCTACTTAATCTACATCATTTAAAATACAAAATTTTATTTTGCGTTTGGAAAATATATGTAATACATGTTAACAGTATTGATAATCTGCTTAGAGGATTACTTAGTAATTAAGTCATACTTAAGATTACCTTGTTACGAGATGCGAGTGGTGGTAAAGATGTGTCCAGCAGGCTCGGGTCAGGTCACTGGTGACCTGACCCGAGCCTGCACCTGTTACAACGAGGTGGTGGTTATTAAATATAAATTTAGATCTAAATTAATAATTTTTGTACTCGCTGAATATTCGCCCTAAACCTGTGGAATGGGCTCTCCAACAGTAACTTGTTGGAGACGCGTCCACAACCCGACCAACACCGGCCCGGCCCCCAGTGATAGATCATAAATAAAGTACCCCCAGCTGCTGCCAAGGATATAATGACAATCCAGCCAGGTTGGGATATTCAAAAGCCGTTCCATGGCTCTGAGAACTATGTCCTGGAATGCCCAATCTAGCCAGGATAATTGAAACTGTTTCAACATTTAGCAGTTTATTCCACTAAACTCCACCACGACTTTTAACAAAGATTCTTATTGAGAGAAGTTACTCTACTAACAAATATCAACAATAAACCACAATGAAAGCCTCATCAAAACATCAGTATAACACTCCTTCTAGATCCTCTCAAGGAGCACGCTTTATGATTTTTTTTGTTGAGATATATACAAGAGTTGTTACATTCTTGTACAGCCACTAGTACGCGTAGCGTTTCGGGCAAGTCCTTAATCCTATGGTCCCTGGAATACGATCCCCTGCCGCGAAGAATCGTTTTTTCATCCACGTACACATTTTACTGTTGCGTTAAACAGAGGCTACAGTTATGGAATTGCGCCCAGTAAATCCTCCCCGGCCAGGATACGAACCCATGACAGAGCGCTCGCGGAACGCCAGGCGAGTGTCTTACCACTACACCACGGAGACTGTAATGTATTATAATAGTCCTTGAGTTGCATTTCACATATTAATACAGATAATTATTAGAAACGGTGGTGAGGTTGAAGAACTGGACTTGATCATTAAATGTACAGCTCAAAGCTCCACACGTCTCCCCAGCCTGACTCTGGACCAATTAAAAATATCTTGCTTGCTCCCGGCAGCGTTTACCCGCCAAAAAACCTGTCGTACTGCAATCGTAATGTGTTTCCAGTCAACTTTGCCGAATAAAACTTAAATATCCCATAATTTTAAAATCCTAATTGCTGTGTGCTATAATATAGTACTTCCAAAGTCTAAAACAGTCAGTAGTTTACATTTTTAGCAATAATCGTGGCGCCGGCACCACCAGAGCCCCACAACGGTCAGTGGTGGTAAGCAGCATGACTTGCGACAGTGTAGAGTCAGGATTGACAAAGACAATTTTTTGCCATCTTGCTGCAAGTGTCGAGGCCTTCACAATGCTGGTTCCTCTCTTTGGTCCCGTGAAGCCCCGTGTGAGAGACTTCAAGCCGGTACCCATAAGCAGGGTAATCTAAGATCCGAAGGAAGGAAGGAAAGATCGCACAGCAGGAACAAGGAAGGAACTGTTGAAAGACAACAATAACCTCTATAACCAAGGCCTGGGAGAAAGGCACGGCGACGAGTAAGGATAGCCTATAGTGGCTATTGAAACCACTAGGAAAGCCATTTTCCTAGTGTGGATTATTTGTTGTTGTTATAGATTCAGCTACTCGGAACAAGCTCCAAGTAGCACGGGCTATGGTGAGCCCGTAGTGGACTTACCTGGCACAGGAGCGGTGCTGAATGAGTGCCTAGTGTGGAACGAAGCCGGAAATATGTACCCTAGTGGTGATGAGGTGCAAGGTAGCTTTGTGGATTCTGCGGTCGGTATACAGATTATTGAATACCTCAAAGTTGGATAAGAATATTGAAACTCTTAGAAAAATTAGCTATGACAAACAGATTGGGTGTAGTGGGGAGTGAAGTGGGGAATGAAACGGAGGGGTAAGAAAGTAAGGAAGAGAATGGCGTATCACAGATGGAAGAGTGTGGAAAAGGAAGTATCCACTAATGATGATGGCGGTGTTCAACCCCGTGTGGTGGAAAATGTTGACGGAGACGCTCAGGAAAAACGGGATACAACAATACAATTTCAAGAGATGATGTCGCTAATCAATAACATAAATAACCGCAGCCAAGATGCTGCCTGGAAACATAGACGGGGAATATTACTGCATCTGCGTTGTGTTCCTCCCATGTTGGTGTTGTTTCTTTGGCATGAAATACAATCTTGTAAGGCCGTGATGCTGTGTAGCATTAGAACATAAGGATCCTATTATGCGTTCATATGCATTATTCATTTCTTTCCTCCTTTTGAAGCGAAAGGATTAATTTATTAGTTCCCTCGGCTCTTATTAATCTAATCGCCGAAGCTTCATTTATCTCTGAAGTTCTATTCGGAATACTCTAAGTTCAATTATCTCATCATTATCTCGGTATTTCTTGGGCCATGTGAATAATCTTGATTATTTTCATGGTTTCTTTTTGTACCTTCTCCATCTTTAGTCTGCCTTTACCAACACAAGACAAGACAGGGGTCCGCACAATCAATGAGATCTCACAGTATGCCATGTGATTACCATTGGAATGTGAAATGTAAAATATGATTAATAATTGTGTACTGTATAGGGGTGTGAACACCTTGAGAAACGGTGTATAGACGAAGGAAGAAATAGCCTAAGCTACTCTATCCTTCAGAGATGTACTTCCTTTTTATCAGATACTAGAGGAAACGGTAATGATTAAACAGATTATAATATTCTCAACCAGCTCAGAGACTCGACTGCCGGACCTCCATATTTATATAGAAATACAAAATATCGCTGCTTTGGGAGCCCCCAGGGTAACACGGAGAGAGAGATTGTATATTGGTGAGTTACAGGAGGCTCTTGAAGTGGCAGACAGACCCACTCCACAAAAGCGATATCAACAAAGTGTAGACTGGTCGCTGTAACGTGACGAGTCTGTGAGGTCAAGAGCCAAGTCTCAGTCATATGAAGAAAACAAACTAATTACAGCACGCAGGTCAATATTTGCTTATAAAGCTTTTAATATTAGCAACTTCTCATCCTCCGACAAAATTAGTGAAGCCAATAGAAGACAAACCAGACAGCAGGGGTTGCAGTTACGAACTACTTTGATGGATTAGATGAATGTGACCAAGGACGGGTAGACCATAACCGGGGAGCCAAAGGACTAACATGCAAAGCTGGCATTTAAATTGTCATACAAACAGGTCACAGTTTAACAGTAAACAAAACGAAATCATGTGACCATTTGAAGTCGATCAAAAAAAGCGTTTATATACTTCTTGGAACAGACCAGAGTTACTTCACATAACATACGCCTGGAAGATATAAAATGCTAAAGTCATTACTCTGGGCTAGAAGGGAAGGAAAGGGAACTTTCGGGAGAAAGCGCAAAGTCATTTACTACTATACCGCACTTGGAAGGGGTCAGGATAAGGATTTGGGATGGGACGGGGGGAAAGGAATGTTGCCAAACACTTGGGCGGTCGGGGGATTGAACGCAGACCTGCATGCCTCGAGACCGTCGCCCTACCGTCTAGCCCAAGGGCTAGAGACAGAGTAAGAAGTGTAGACTAGAGCCAGTGTATTGGAGATACCATGTGTACAACTAGACCTTGAATATCAGAGAGGTTCACGACTCCCACCAGCAAATATTAGACACAATGCCACAGAAGAAAGATTCGAGTCTTCAGGACGGAATTAGAAGCGTTCGTGCAGCAAGTGTTTTCATCTGGCGGGTTGTGTACCTCGTGTGTTTGGCAGATTTAAGTTACTTTTAATGGTTAAATATTGTTATCACTTTGTTACCTGGCGGGATTATAACCACTAAGATCACTAGCACTCGTGTGCTGAGTGCACTTGTCGGTGCACTCGGTGGTTTCTGTGATAATAATTGCGAGGTTTTCGTTCATTTCAACGATTTTATGCAAATATCTTGTTCGCTGCTCAACCTGATCTATTTTGTAATAACTATATGAATTATATTTTAGTATCCAAACTAAAGGCGACGGAATCTTTCGTGGAATTTTTGTAAAAGTCCCGAAGCCTTGTAATTGACCCTAAGGTGTGGGGATGGGGGGGGGGGGGGGGGAAGGAAGGAATTATCAGGGGGAAAAGCGCCAAGCTATTACGACTATATGGCACTTGGAAGCGGTTAGGATAAGGATTTGGGATGGGACGGAGGGAAGGAATGGTGTCCAACCACTTGGACGGTCGGGGATTGAACGCCGTCTTACAAGGAAGCGAGACCGTCGCTCTACCGTCCAGCCCAAGTGGTTGGGCGGGGGAAGGAGAGGTGGGCTAAGGTAATTGCAGCCATGATAGAAGGGCCGTTGCAACTGTCTTTGGTGTTGTGTAGGTTGTTGATTTAGCTACTCTGAACGAAATGTCCATGTAGCACGGACTATAGTGAACCCGTATTCGAGTTCGATTATTCACGATAATTTTGTTATTGGGATATTTGTCAAAATTTTAAATGGAAGTGGGGTTTCCTCCTTTTCTCCCGGTTTCTTTTCGCTTCTGTTTTAGCGCACTGGTTTTAGTCTTGTGTGCAGGACAGACGTGTAATGTATATATATTCACCTAATGTGTGAGGGGGAATTGGGTAGATAGAGATGTGTAGGTGTGGTGGTTGACGCTTGGAGTGCGTAAATGTTTCTGATACACTTTTCTTCCACAGGTTGCTGAACCACCTTCAACCTGGCTCTGTCAAGAGAGTGAACACAATGAAGGCTCCCTTCAAACAGGTGAGTGGTTTGGGGGTTGGGGGACGGGGGGGGGGGGGGGGAAGGTTAGAGACGAGTCAGGCGAATGGAAGAAATGGACGCTGGAAATTAAAGGCGGCAACAGCCCCCCCTCTAACACACAGGCCCCCCCTCTAACACACAGGCCCCCCCTCTAACACACAGGCCCCCCCTCTAACACACAGCCCCCCCCTCTAACACACAGCCCCCCCTCTAACACACAGCCCCCCCCTCTAACACACAGCCCCCCCCTCTAACACACAGCCCCCCCTCTAACACACAGCCCCCCCTCTAACACTCAGCCCCCTCCTTCTAACACACAGCCCCCCCTCTAACACACAGCCCCCTCCTTCTAACACACAGCCCCCCCCTCTAACACACAGCCCCCTTCTTCTAACACACAGCCCCCTCCTTCTAACACACAGCCCCCTCCTTCTAACACACCGCCCCCCCCCTAACACAACCCTACTAACGCAGCCCCCCCTCACACACAGCCCCCCCTCACACACAGCCCCCCCCCTCACACACAGCCCCCCCTCACACACAGCCCCCCCTCACACACAGCCCCCCTCACACACAGCCCCCCTCAGCAACACCTGCAGGGGCTGCTGGTGCCCATCACTCTAGATCTTCTGTAAATGGCACAACCGCGACCAGATTGAACAAAGAGTAGAAGAAAACTGGTTAGACCTCTCTGATGCAAATCTTCCTCACTCCTGAGGTCACCAGCAACAAGACAGGCCCTGGAAGTAGACCTCCGGCCACGGGCCCTGGAAGTAGACCTCCGGCCACGGGCCCTGGAAGAGTAGACCTCCGGCCACGGGCCCCTGGAAGAGTAGACCTCCGGCCACGGGCCCCTGGAAGAGTAGACCTCCGGCCACGGGCCCCTGGAAGAGTAGACCTCCGGCCACGGGCCCCTGGAAGAGTAGACCTCCGGCCACGGGCCCCTGGAAGAGTAGACCTCCGGCCACGGGCCCCTGGAAGAGTAGACCTCCGGCCACGGGCCCCTGGAAGAGTAGACCTCCGGCCACGGGCCCCTGGAAGAGTAGACCTCCGGCCACGGACCCCTGGAAGAGTAGACCTCCGGCCACGGACCCCTGGAAGAGTAGACCTCCGGCCAAAAATGTTTCCACCATTATTGTAAAGTAATTATTTAAATACAGGCATCAACTTAAATATTCTAAACTGATCAGTAAACACTTGTAACCAAAGTAATGTTATCCCACATCTCCGGGTGACAATTCTGACCGTACAAGAATGTAAGAACTCTTGTATATATCAAATATATACAGATTTGCACATTATTTTATTTATCAAAAGGCTGAAATCATGAACCTGGAGGATGAAGGGAATTATTCAGCAGAAAGCGCCAAGCCAAAACGACTATATATCACTGGGAAGGGGTCAGGATAAGGATTTAGGATAGGACGGGGGAATGGAATGGTGCCAAACCACTTTGGACGGTCGGGGATTGGACGCCGACCTGCATGAAGCGAGACCGTCGCTCTACCGTCCAGCCCAAGTGTTTCTAGAACATCCTAGAGGACACCTCTCCTGGTATATCTACCCCTGGGTGGAGGTGAGAGACGGTCCTTTGTCATTCAGCACCGCTCCTGTGTCAGGTAAGTTACGGGCTCACCATAGCCAGTGCTACTTGGAACTTGTTCCGAGTAGCTGAATCTATAACAGGTAAGAGACGCTGGTGAGCTGTGACTAGCATCTTGAAACGGTAGGAGGTCTCTATAGAATATTATATATATGTTTATTATTTTCCAAATCAGCGTCATTGTTAGCGTATACAGTATATATTATATATATATATATATATATATATATATATATATATATATATATATATATATATATATAATATACATAATAATTAATGTATTTTCTTTGTTGATAATTTCTTTAGTATATAAATATCTTTTTTATATTTAAGACTTTGTTGCTGTAAAGTGGTGTTATATTATTATTAGTTACTGAACATGTTTGTTTGACTCGGGTGAGGTCCAGGCTGACAGTCTGTCTTGTGCCGCAGAGAGAGAACGTCGAGATGTTCCTGAAGGGCTGTGAGGCTTACGGCCTCAAGAGTCAAGACCTCTTCCAAGTGAACGACCTCTACGAGAACCGGAACCTCTACATGGTGAGTACCTCGCTCTCCTTCAACTCTCTGGTCGTTCTCCCTTCACAAGTACGGGACCTTGGGGCTGTGTACTGTGTAGAATTACCACGTAGGATCAAGGGAAGGGAAGGGAATTCTTAGGGGAAAGATCCAAGACTATATAGCACTTGGAAGGGATCAAGATAAGGATTTAGGATGGAGCAGTGGTGGTTGACGGTAGATTTAAATAGCAATTTAAGAATTGTAATACATTATGTATATTAAATATGTATGCACAGTGTAAATTTATAACCGACACGCAGAATGCGACTGTAGAGTTGTCGAGGATTCAAAACAGCGTGTTGGGTGGTGTCCATCACAACACATCTTAACATTCATTCATTGACATCGTCAGTCAATTTTATTGTTTTGAATGTCCTTGGGGGTGTCCAGGGGGGGGCACGTCCCGGTGTCCAGGGGGGCACGTCCCAGGGCACATACGACATTGCCAGGGGGTGTCCCAGACCCCGAGTGACCTGTTTAACACTATGTAGTTACTCTTTTTATATAAAAAAAAAAAGTCTAGAGAGGAAATCAGTCAGTCTGCCGGAAGACAATGGAAAATCCCCTCCTTCAGTGTGTAAGGCCGCACCTTGACCCAAGAGGTCAGGTCTTGTGGTCAACATTTAATGAGTTAGATACCACGACTTGCTAATCCCACAATTGTGGTGGATCATCTTTGTTGGCGTGTCTTGATCTATCTCTGTCGACAGAGACCAGCCACCTTGTCATTGTTTGACAGTAAGGTGGCACCAAGCTATCTCAGTGGGCTGAGCTTAGCGTCCTGAGCTTAGTGTCCTGAGCTTAGCGTCCTGAGCTTAGCGTCCTAGGTCCAAAATAAACAATGTGCAAGTTGAGAATTGAGGACAGACGTATTCAGATCCAGATTAAGAGAGATCCAGGCCAGGTGTGGTCTAGGCCGGTCTTCCCCTTCACCCCCCAGTTGACTCACTGTATTGACTGTGGAAAGTAAGAGTGGGAGTATACTGTGGAGTGGGAGTATACTGTGGTGTACTTGAACATTAGAAATATGTTGGGGGGGAAGTCAGTCAAGCAGTGATTCAGTTTATCAGTGACTCGGCTCATGTCCATGCCTCTAAATTATATTGGTAAATGTTAGCCAAATAACGATAAATGTTAAAACTATTAATGGTATTATACACTTGCCTATGAATGAAAATAATTGTGATGCAGTTTGACTTAAAATCTTGGTACTGTTGGCCAGAAGTGAAGCCCACTCGCTGAATACTACTCGGTGAATAGTGAGGTTATGATTGTTATATTATCATTATACACGAATAAAGTAATTATGAAAAGAAGGCACCAAGTCGGGTCATTATACAGAGGTGACATGTTGAAACCGGACCCCATTTTGTCTATAAAGATAATGGACGGTGGCAGCTCGACCCCTTTTCCTTCATCCCTTCTCCTCTTCCTTCTCCTTACTCTCCATATTTCTCTTCTACCCCTTATCCTCTTCCCAAATATTTTCCCTTTAAAACCCCATTGTCTTCCCTTTCCCCCCTTAGATCTCGGCTCCTTTTGATCCATTTCCATTACCTCCATTATCTTCCATTTCTCTACTTCTCATTCTCCATTTTTACACTTATTACAACTGGATGGTGTTCCAGCGGGCGCCTGGATGGTGTTCCAGCGGGCGCCTGGATGGTGATCCAGCGGGCGCCTGGATGGTGTTCCAGCGGGCGCCTGGATGGTGTTCCAGCGGGCGCCTGGATGGTGATCCGGTACCATAAAAACCTCCACTATTGTATTCTAATGTTGTGTGGACCATTTGTTCCTGCAACACCGGAACACAATATTGGGTTACATAAGGATCCTTCAAGAAGTCTGAACATTCTTTGTCGAGTATAATAATAATAATCTTCCGAGAAGTAAAGAATACCTTAATACATTAGTGCTAAGAAATAAAGAGACGGTGGAGGTGGCGATCTAACCAACCTTTAATCTTAATACCATATCTTAAGTCCGATTACATTTTAATACAATCTTAAATACGATTGTTATAGTCAGTGTTTCTCTAGCACTTTATTTTCCTTAAGTGCACTTGGTCCTGAGTGTGTAAGTGCTTGTGTGTTCCGCTTCTTCACCAACTTTGCCTTAGGGAAGGGGGGGGGGGGAGTGTAGGCACTGCCTTCATTGACGTAACATCTGCGGTCACCTAGTTATGCTTGCGGGGTTGAGCTTTGGCTCTTTGGTCCCGCCTCTCAGATTTGTGGGGGTCTTCAAAGGGGGTCGAGCAGCTACAAGGAAAATTTTTTCTTTTTAAAGATTCCCAGAATACTCTCAATCGTATCCTGTTGGTCAAGAAGTTTAAACTTGGCGGGAGTCGTCAGCAGCATCGCCTCTGTGTCAGTCTGTGAGTGTCCAGTGTTCCTGTCTGACTCGCTGTTTACGTGGTCAGGGTCCGCACTGGCCCGCCCTCCCTTTTTCCCCGCCTCTCCTCTTCTATAACTCCTGACGGTTTTGGGAATGTTGTGGTGTGATTCAGGTCGTTTATCCCCCCCTCTCCCCCATCCACCCCTCCACCCCTCCCCCCATCCACCCCCCCATCCACCCCCCCATCCACCCCCCCATCCACCCCTCTCCCCCATCCACCCCTCTCCCCCATCCACCCCTCTCCCCCATCCACCCCTCTCCCCCATCCACCCCTCTCCCCCATCCACCCCTCTCCCCCATCCACCCCTCTCCCCCATCCACCCCTCTCCCCCATCCACCCCTCTCCCCCATCCACCCCTCTCCCCCATCCACCCCTCTCCCCCATCCACCCCTCTCCCCCATCCACCCCTCTCCCCCATCCACCCCTCTCCCCCATCCACCCCTCTCCCCCATCCACCCCTCTCACCCATCCACCCCTCTCACCCATCCACCCCTCTCCCCCATCCACCCCTCTCCCCCATCCACCCCTCTCCCCCATCCACCCCTCTCCCCCATCCACCCCTCTCCCCCATCCACCCCTCTCCCCCATCCACCCCTCTCCCCCATCCACCCCTCTCCCCCCCTGCGGGTTCGCACAAGCACAAGCGAGGCTTCACTCCAGTTCAAATAAACCAGCGCAGATAAGGAGAGCCGCCTCCAGCACTTCACGAGTCACTTCGCCAAATAATGATGATTACGATTTGTAGGTTACATCTTTTTTGTCCTCCCTCGGGACGTATAGAAGGCGGTGGGGGGGGGGGCTGCGTTTGGGGGCCCATGGCGAAGTGGTTGTATGCACTCGATCCCATGTACTGGCCTACATATACTTGGAGCCGGTGGCCGAGCGGACAGCACGCTGGATACGTGATCCTGTGGTCCCGGGTTCGATACCGGGCGCTGGCGAGAAACGATGAGCAGTTTCTTTCGCCCTATGCCCCTGTTACCTAGCAGTAAATAGGTACCTGGGAGTTAGTCAGCTGTCACGGGCTGCTTCCTGTGTGTGTGTGTGTGTGTGTGTGTGTGTGTGTGTGTGTGTGTGTGTGTGTGTGTGTGTGTGTGTGTGTGTGTGTGTGTGTGTGTGTGTTGGAAAAAAAGTAGTAGAAGAAACAGGTGATTGACAGTTGAGAGGCGGGCCGAAAGAGCAGAGCTCAACCCCCGCAAGCACAACTAGAGCAATACAACTAGGTGAATACATGTTCTTACTGGGCTCACATCTCTTGATTTCAGAGAGTCGCCTGGTCTCTGCCTGTGTTTTCCTAAGGCTTTGTAGTGTGACTTTTGAATTAGTGCAGAGTCAAAAGGTGGAGTGTAGTCCAGGTGTATGATGGGGTGTGGTGGCGGCTTTAGTGTTGCTTTCAAAGAATCTTAGTGCCATAATATTTGGGAATCGGTTCAGGAACTGAACCCCATAGTTCATTAGCTAAATGAACTAAGGGGCTCAGTTCCTGAACTGGTTATGTGCCTCTGTAGCCCTTTCCACTACGGCCTATGGGATGAGTATGGTGCATAATAAAGAAATTGAATTTGGCATTTAACTCTGCTTGCGTTAGAGGCATAGTTTGTAATGCGTGACTTTTCTTCAAATCCGTTTTAAGACTATTTGTAATTAGTGTATGCTGCTCCAGCACCGCCATTATTAAAATGAGATAAGCCGTCAGGGTAGATTGGATCTAAACAATTTATGCCTTCACTGATGTCCTCAAGATATTATGCCTCATTTCTTGTGGTATCATGTTGGACTTTTTCGTTGTGGTCTCGTTTATAACAATCTCACAAGGTTCATCCTCCCAGGGAGGTAAGTTCTCTACAGGCATGAGCTCACGGGCTTGCTCAAGCAGGTGAAGTTCTTCAAGGTGATGACTGATCAGTGATGCAAAATTTTGCTTCTCCTCTTTCCTTCTGTAATTAGCATACTACACACTTTTCTTGTCGATATCATTTTAGTGGGGATTTTGATTATCTGCAGTTGTGGAGAGGATGTGTGTATTTTGCACGCCACAGTATCACTTGACACTTTCCAAGGAATAGTTAACTCTTCCTCACTTGGTAAACATCAGAGAAAAAATAAACGAGCCGATCTTTGAGACGCCGAACCCTGGAGACTTGCCTCTTTATGTAAACAAAAAAAACGGCTTATGGGTTTTTTTTTTTCACTGACTGGCCGCTCCAGACACCTCTAAACCATGATTGTCTTCTCAAACTGTGTAACGTTCGTTATCTCTACCAAGGGAGACAAGACGACTCCTTCCTGCCCCGAGGGAGATCACCCCTTTCCCACCCAAGATGATTAAAGAACAACCCTTGCTTCCACAAGAAGCTAAGTACAATGTCAAACTGATGCTTTGGTCAGAGAGCGCTCCCTCTCTCAGATTATTTACGTTGATGGCTTCTTGCACCTGTCCTGTGGTGCAGCTGGAAGTGTAGTTCTTGGTGAAGTCCCTGGCACCGGTGCCCATCACTCGCGGCCCCCATGGCACCGGTGCCCATCACTCGCGCCCCCCCTGGCACCGGTGCCCATCACTCCCAGCCCCCCTGGCACCGGTTCA